CCTGTGATGGACTGGCATCCCGTCCAGGGTGTCCCCTGCCCTGTATCCTGTGCTTCTGGGGCTGGTCACCACGTTAACAAGGTGACCCTGCCTTGTTAGATGCATATGTGGAAACGGATTTAAAGTAGTGATTTTAATACAGCTTTTATAAAAATTTTTGTTTATTGCCATACTCATTCATCATTTCCAAGTTCATTTATTGGCAATTCTCACTTTTAATTCTATCTTTCATTTATATATTGATTTCTTCTTTTGTTTATTCATCCATTTGTTCTTTTGTTTGCTTCTAAATTTTAATATCTTTAATCCTCCTCAGATGCATGCCCTGTTTGTTAGCAAATCCACATGCAAAATAAGACTTTGATGTGAGCCTGTGCAAACACCAGGGCGGACAGTCCATACACCTTTAGGCATACCCGTCGCTGCTGCGAATTTGCATCTCTCCCTGCAAGACAAGCGTGCTTCACTAACGTCGACCGAGACTAATCAAGCTGGCTGCATTGGCTCCAAACATGCTTGTAGGTGCACCCTATCACCAGCTTCCACTGGGAGAGCTGGATGGGGGTAGCTGAAAGGCTTTCCGTGATGGATCATACTCTCCACGCCGGCTGTTTCTCATAGGTGTGTTGACTGAATGATTAAACAGAAACAAAAAAGGCTTCCCTGTTTCCTGGTTTAATGGCAGACTTTGATCGTGCTTTGTTCTTCCTCCCAGCAGAGAGTTGCATTCAAGCACTAATTGTTTTTTGAACCATAGAAATGCTATTCTGCACCCTTCAAAATGCACTGTACATATTATTTACATAAATATCATGTCATTTGCCTAGCAGATGCCCATGTCCATTGTGCAGTGAGCAGTGCACTAGCCAGATGTGATCCAGGCTAAATAAAGCCAAACTGAATATCAACTAAACACAAAAATAAACCCATTAGTCTCTATCATTTTCATGCGTTGTTTCTTTTTCAACTTGGTGCGAAGTAGCAGAAAATATAAGGTAATGAACCAAATTCGCACAGGGCCGCAGGTGTGATAGTTCAGTGTTTTCTGTTGTGTTTAAATTTGCTTTTAAAGTGCCTCTCTGATCCAGCACTTGGTATAAATGTCTTTATGGACAGTTCATTAGATAATGTGGTTTGGATAGATCTATGATGCCGCTCATTTTCGCTATAAATTTACTGTCTGTGAAGTCTGTTCACTTCCCATTTACATACGGAATCCACAATTTCATACTCGTTACAAAACTGAGTGGCAATTATGTCAGTAATAAATACTGGTTGTATGCAATATTAATGTGAATCATTGACAAATTACAATATCAGTTCTGTTAAATAGAAACATAGATATAAATATATATCAATAATTTAATAAATGAATCACTAAGGGTGACAAAAATCCAATCTATCCATCGTTCTTTCTCGCAGTATGTGTCAGAGCCTCTGCTTAGCAGCACAGGAAGCAGGCAGGAAACAGCAGATGACCGCTAACAAGAAAATCTATCATAATCTTTAATTCATCCATTGATAAAAACAAAAGAAAAAAGTTCATTTTCATCCAAAAACTATTTCAATCAATTGGTCAATATTAACCTAAAATACCCTAGAAAAGCTTCTTCCTTGTTTATCACGTTCTTCACTCTGCACCCACCATCTGAGCTGAGCTTTCCCAGGCTGCAGAAGTCGGGATTTTAATGTTTAAGCTGCTTGGTGTATATATTTATATTGCTACGGGAGCCCCAGGTGTGTAGACCGCACAGCATGAAACGCTAGATCAGTGAATTGTTTTGCAGCCAGCTAGACCCCCATCTGTCCATCTTGCCTAAGCCTTTAACAAGTAAAAGAGATACTCCCAGAATGCAGAGGAAGGCAAACTCACACAGACATAGGAAGCACCTGTGAGAGCCCACACACACCAGGTGCTGGGAATCGAACCCACTGCCTTTGAGGTATGAGGCTACAGTGTAACAGTGCGCCAGGATGCTGCCCTACCAATGTTTATATTTGATAGAAATCGTCAAGAATTGAATAAGTCATTTGTATCTGGCTTTGTCCCTCAATTATTGCAGGTGTTAGTAAATGCCTGCTTTTCACAACATAATGCAATTTGGTTCTGGCAGGCATTTGAAGTGAAGTGTTATAAAAGGTACTTGAAGGTTCTATTATGCTCAGTTTGCAAGTCTGTTTCCTATTGAACAATGAATGACTGTAACTTATTATGGGCTGTCCAGCTCCATGCACTTCCTATTTTGTGCCAGCAAAAGTCTTGCTTTCCATTTTTCAGTAGCAAGGAGCCTCTTGTTTTCCTTTGCAATACACCCAGCTTTGGAAAAGCAAAATATTCACATTCAGCTGTTTGCACTCACAGTTGTGCTAAATTTTATTATGCTTTATACTTTATTTACTCTGTTTTTATATACTGTGTTTGTTTTGTTCTCCACATACATTTTAAAACAACCTTGTTTTACCAGACAATAGGTAAACCTGTAATAGTAGGTTAACAGTACAAATAAGCAAATTTCATTACATTTTTCACTATAATACTGTGCTGTAAGCATGTTAGCTGAACAGTATGGATTCACTGGAATACATTAGTTCTTACATTCAAGATGGCAGAGGTTTCCTCAAGTACACAAAATGAAATTTGTGAAACTGTCAGACTTTGCTTCTAGCAGTGACTCCTCTTTGTATTAATGCCCAAACAACATTGGTCACGACAAAAATATTTGCATGCATTTAGAGCCAGGAAGCTAAAAAGAAAAAGTTAATTGATTAATAATAATTTTGTATCATCCGTTTCCCATAACCACTTATCCAGGAAAGTTAAATATAACATGCTTAGTCTTTTATAGTGCAGGTAGGAATGCTTGTTTTAAACCTAATCAAATTGGTAATATAACTGTTCTGAATGTCTACTTGAGTCATAGGAATTAATTTTCTGGAAGAATCAACTCATTGGCTCATAAAATGGGGTAATTGAGGGAGCAGGAGATGTGCGCCTTGGGTATCTTTAGGATTTCAACACAGTTTATGCTTTGGTCCTTAAAGAGTCCTTGTCCCAATTCTGCTCATGTTATTTTGTGGTAGAAAATCCCGTGATTCAGCGCTGGTATCAAGTCTGATCTTCCTGCGAGACCCCTAACAGTAATCTGCTATAACTTCCATGTATACAACCAAGGGTGTAGGAGAGATATTGGGGGTGGACACAACTTAATAATTTAAATATAAAGGTCATTATTTTGGGGGGTAGGCGAGTGAAGCCAAATAAAATATTGGTGGGGGGGTGGGTCATGTTCACCCCATTCCACCTGGTTCCTGTAGCCCAGTATAGACTAAGGGAAAACTGTTAGAGTTGGTTCTGATGCAGCTACTGCTTCTTTGTAAAGTAAAATGTGTGTGATGATGTTTTATGCTTTCCAGTTTAAAAAATGAATGCAATTATCGGTATGTTTGTCTTTTCCAATAAACCATTCATCTTCCAGTAGTTTATTCTGGTGAGGGTAATGGAGCCTGTCCATCATAGGGAAGATATATGCACAATCATACACGACAGGCAACCCAGAGAGGCCCAGTGACTGGGCTTTGGACTGCAGGAGACAGCTGGAGCACCCAGAGTAACACTGCATGACACAGGGAGAACATGCAGACACCACCCACATAAAGGGCAAAGGTGGAATTCAAAGCCGTAACTTGGGACAGGGCTGCCCACTGAGCCACAGTGCCAGGCATCCCTTGTCTGTTGTTGACATTTTATTTATCCATATTGCATAGTTGTGCATAGATGCTGTCATCCAGTTTGCCAAGCTGCCTTATTCTGAAGTTGTCATGGTCTTGCAGTCGGCAGTATGACAGCCCCTCTGAATACTCTGCTGTGGACAGCTTAAGAAGCACCGCATTATACACTGTATGTGTATAGCCTACTGATAGCAGACTGCCGTGTTGCCAGGTCACATCTGTAGTGTTTCGATGAATATTTTCAGGGCATGGCCTGTGTCTTTGGTTAGATGGCTACTGTAATCAGTAATCATCTGCATGTCTGCAGTATCTTACAGAACAGCAATGACACAGAGACCTTCTAACATGTAATAGGCAGTATGCACTGTTGCCTTATGTTTCTGGGACCAGGGTTCGAATGTCCGCCATGGCTTCGTGTGTTCTCCCTGTGTCATTGTGGGGTTTCCACCAATTAGCTGGGGTTTCCAATTAACTGAGGCTAATTGGAGTTACCACATTGTCCATAGGTGTGCATGTGTGAGTGAATTGTGTGTGTTTGTGTGTGTGTGTGTGTCATGTGATGGGTTGGCGCCCCGTCCTGGGTTGATCCCTGCCTTGTGCCCCCCATGACCCTAAATAGGACAAGCGGTTACAGAAAATTGATGGAAGATGAGCATTCATATGAAGAGAATATTGGGTGAAATTTTGAGCCCAGAATTACAGTAGTGGTTATATACTGATTCCCATTGTCCTGCCATGACCTGCCTCCTCTCATTCCACCAGATGGCACGTTTAATGTGTTTTGATCCAAAGGGATTGTTTTCATTCTGTGATGGTGGGTACATTCCCTGTGTAATGGGCTGTAAAATACTAATGCACTGTCTACAAGATACTGGTCACTTGGAAGACAAGGACATTATTCTTCCTCCAGTATGGCCATGTAAAACAAATTAATAGCTAGAAAGAAGGATTAATTAACTTCAAGAGCTTTTGCAGAAAAAAACCTAAATCAGTTGTTTTTGCTACAATTGCGCAACTCAGACTTGAGTTCTGTTTTCAGAAACGGCTGCACATTTTTATAGTGGCGTTTTTGTTTCCTTTTATCTACTCATGGGCACTAACGCATCTCCTTGAGATTCTTGTTAGTTCCATAAGCTTATTTGTCTTCAAACCACCTTGCAAAAAGCAGAGCCTTTATATTTAAAGTTTTATTGAGTGCTTCAAGCAAATTAAACATGCATTGTGGAAGTAAAAATCCTGCATGTAGGGGCACCGTAAGGCAGGGGGGTGATTCCAAGTGCCCCTGAGTGACAGGGGGCCTAGAAAATTTGGAAAATTGCTGGATTGGTCTGGACCGGGGGACCTGATCTGATATGCCTTCATGGGGCCCAAAATCTCCAGCAACACCCCTGGGTGCATTTAACAGAACTACTAGTAAGGAAAATGCATTTGGAACACACGTTCTAACAGTCTTATTTTTATTTGTGTTAAGTAATAAATAAACTAAACCAGCGTTTCCCAATCTGGTCCTTGGGGATTCCCAGACGCTCCATGTTTTTGCTCCCTCCCAGCTCCCAGCTCCCAGCTCCCAGCTGGAACAAAAACATGGACTATCTGGGGATCCCCTGAGGACCAGATTGGGAAACACTGAAGTAACACAAAAAGGAGCCAGTTCTGACAACAGTAGAAAGGGCTGCAAATATAACATTTTTGTATCAAATGTCTGTAACTGTAGAAATGACCAAGTGCCCAATTACTGTAAGTGTAGATTTCCAGATTTTCTGTTTGGTGCATGGCTTAACTTTGTAGAATGTGGCTCTTTTAGTCGATGACAGCATTCTAACAACTTAGTCCTAGTTATTCCCCATAGATATAGAAACTAACTTGCTAACTGTCACAATACCTTTTTATATCTGAATTTCATTCTATTTTTTCGTCATCGATAAAGCTTCTTAATTTATTTACCCCATTATTGTTATTTTTTCAGAATGTATGCAGAATAGAAAATTGTCCCTGTAATATAGAGGAAACGGTCTCTTAGCAACCACAAAGTATACTGCTTCCATTCCAGAGAATTGGTTATGCCCTTTGCCCTGAAATGTTATATTTGAACCGCTGATCTTAATAGACTATTGTTCTACAGTACCTTGCAACCACTGGCAAGTTTACTCTGGTAGTTAAGTTTTTTTCTATTTTCTTTCTAAAGATAATATTAAAGTGACTTTGTCTTTGATCACGGATCAAGTGCAAAGGCATTCCATTTTCTGTGTGCATGTTTATCATTGTGATTGACGTCAGAGTCACACAGATCCACTGAAACCACGAACATACCCAGGACTGCATCAGACCATGAAGCTGAGTGAAGAACTGGATGTTAACAGAAAGACTATTCTACTCTAATTTATAATAAAAGGTGAGAAATCCACGTATGACGACGCTGAGGCTGGAAACATTTGGCATTTGAATTAAATGCTCTTCTTAAAATAGGCAGCCCTTCGCCTGATGTCTTTGGCGATTGTGTTCCTTGAAATCTTGGAAGCCTTGAGGCTCAGTGTCACACTGCTGGACAGTGTCCTATTAGCCTCTCCCACAACCTGCTGTTTAATAACAGGGTTTCATCCCTCACCGGAGGGGTGATATCTGTCTGCCAGGGAGGGGGACAAGGTCTCCCTGGATCTGCTGGTGACTAAATTTAACCATCTGAATCAATTGCTGCTTTTAATTCTCAGCAGTGGGGTGTACTGGGGACGTAGGGGCTGGTCTGCTATTACCAGTGATGACTTCACTAACTACAGTAGGCAGGTGTTTCAGCTGAAACTGGATTTGTGGGCAGACTTCCAGCTTTATTACCAACCCCCTAAGAAGAATGCTGCTCTTTTACCTTTGAAGAATGAGTGTAATCATGGCACGCAGTAGTCTGGCGGTGTAAATCTGAGATGCATGTAAGATGCTTTATATAAACGTGTCGGCTTAGCAAATAAATGGCAATAATGTTGTGTAATGCGTTAAAAATATGGGCGATGCGGGTAGCATGGTGGGAATAGAAGGCGATAATGTCTTAGCTTAGGGAATTTAAGTAGGATGTGCTATATAATTAAGGAAGAACTAAAGGATAGGGAAACGTTTGGATTGTTTTAACATTGAGAACAGTGAGAATATGATTCTTATTTAAATGTACCTTTTTACTGCCTTCACCGCTTCTCTCCAAAGCAGTATGTCACTCATTTAGGGCTCTGAATTTGAAACCTTCCTTCCCCATGTTTATTATAACAGGATCATTCTTCATATTTGAGGCTTTTGGTTAGCAGGTGCACTTCTTGTCTTACAATTTAGCCATTTATATGACTAGACATTTACTGGTATTGTTTAAAAACTAAATCACTTGACACTTGTTATTCTGTCCTCAGTGCTTAGTCAGCCTTGTGAATATTATGAATGATTATATAGAAACAATGTTAATTTTGCAGAATTAAAATACCTTATAATCATAATGTAATAATAATTTGTATCTGTTAAAGCACATTTTTATACACATGCATCTATTTCATGTTGACATAAGGAAGATTCTTTGTATTCAATGACATTGTGTATTCTTATAAATATAACTTTGGTGAAAAGATTTTTAAAGCTTTGTTTATAACCGTCTGGTTATAGCATACTTGACAGGCAAATATTCTATGCCATGTCATGAAAACAGAAAGACTCCTAAAAATACCTGCTGACTGATCTTTATTTGATGGAGCATATTTCTGATGATGAGATCCAGTGTTCACAGCCTGTGAATTTTATAACATGTGTGCTTTATAATACTCCCTTATAGTGCTTATAAATCATTTATTACACCCTCGGTTTTCGAAGCTTTGTCTTCTAAAGCAAACAGTCCCTAATTGTATGTGCCTTTTTGTGTAAACAGGCCGTTATTAAAATTGTACACTGTTCCCGCTAAAGAAAACAGCCCTATGGAAAACTTAAATATACACTTAGCTTTGGAAATAAACATCACTCACCTTGACATTATGTGCTTTATGAGTGGAAAAGCTTTCCCAGGCCGACATCTGTTGGTCACTGAGCACAAAGGGCCCAAATTGTGCTTGTGGCCTGATAGATGACATTGCATGGTGAATATCTCTCACTTTAAGTGGCATATGAAACAGAGTAAATATATTTAAAAGCCTTTTTGTTTCCCTGTAATATGTGTTCAGTGCATAAAATGTGTGCTAGGCAAAGACTTGCACCTTTAGAAGACTACATTTTGTATGAATTTGCAAAGTATGCAGTATGAGCGTTATGCAGTATATGTAAAATAATTCTTGGCATTTAACTCAAATTATGTGCGAGTTCAGGTCATAGTCAGTGTCATAATGCACATATTAGAAGGCATTAGTCATCTTCACCGGTGCTTTACATACCGTGTCAGTCCTGAGGATCAAGGCTGGGCCGCAACTGTTCATGGGGCAGGTGCTCAACTCGGGGGGGG